GAGGTACAACTCTTAAGAAGCAATACACGAAATTTGGTGATAAATCAAAACGCACACGAACGGAAAGGGGAAAAAAGATTATGTCACCCATTCTCCCCCAAAATGACAGGTTAAGCTCCTGCCTTCTAACATTTTACCTAAGGAGGAAAAGTATCCTGAGAGCAGGAGAACAGGCAAAGGACCAAGAGTATTTACCATTTCAGCATAGGAGAAAGGGGCTTGGGATTTATCTCTGCTCTGATTTTTATTACTTAGATTGCCTTCCCCTAACTTTGGGTTTAATTTGTTCTTTTTCTAGTTCTTCAAGGTGTAAATTAAGTTTGTCTATTTGGATTCTTTCTTCTTTTTTAAGGGGCATATACAACTGTAAATTCCTCTTTTAACACTACTATCAATCAGTACATCTTGTAAGTATGGGATGTTGTGTTTTATTTTCATTTGTCTCAAGGTATTTTCTGATTTCCCTTGAGATAGTTTTTTTTTTTTTTTTTTTTTTGAGACACAGTCTCAGTTGCCCTGGGTAGAGTGCAATAGCATCATAGCTCACAGCAACCTCAAACTCTTGGGCTTGAGCAATCCTCTTGCCTCAGCCCCCTGAGTGGCAGGGACTATAGGCATGCCCCACCACACCTGGCTAGTTTTTCTGTTTTGAGTAGAGACTAGGTCTCACGCTTGCTCAGGCTGGTCTCCAACTCCTTAGCTCAAGCAATCCACCCACCTCTGCCTTCCAGTGTGCTAGGATTACAGGTGTGACCCACCATACCTGGCCAAGATAGCATTATTTTTATTTAAGCAAAGGCATTATGGCAAACATAAAAGCATATTAAAAATTTTTAAATACCCCCAAATTTAATATTTTTCTACTCACTGAACAAAATGGAGATCAGAATGGAGAGCAGTGATGGTGCATGTGGACTATTGATACTATGTAAATAAACATTTTTCACAAATTTTTAAATACTACTACTATTTCCTCTCCTTTAAGGAGTGTCTCAAAGTACAGAATCAGAGATGAAGCCAAAAATTTTAACTGGTAAAATTGTATAAAGATACTTATTAGTTGAAACTATAAAAATAAGAAATGTTATGTTGCTCTCAATATTTCTGCGTTTTAAATTTTAAAAAAAAAACCTGACTCAATGAATCACAAGGGTAACAAGTGACTAAAAGTACTTACTTGTCTTTGTGTCTGTATTTGTTTGCTAGGGATGCCAAAAAGAGAATATCACAGAATGACTGGCTTATACTGGCAGTCTTCAACCTTTTTGGCACCAGGAACCAGTTTCATGGAAGACAATTTTTCCATGGAAGTGGGGGGGAGCATTAGATTCTCAAGATGCATACATAACCTAGATCCATTGCATGCAGTTTACATACAGTAGGGTTCACATGCCTATGAGAATCTAATGCCTCTGCTGGTGTGACAGGAGGTGGTGATGCAAGCAATGGGGAGCAGCTATAAATACAGATGAGGCTTCACTGGCTCCTCCACTCCACCTCCTGCTGTGCTGCCTGGTTCCTAACAGACCACACACAGAAACTCAGTAAGGGTCTGGGACCTGGAGGTTGGATCAAGCAGGAACAGAGGTTTTAATTCACACAGTTCTGGAGGCTGGAAGTCCAAAAATCAAGATGCTGGCAAGGCTGATTTCTCTAGAAGCTGTTCTCCTTGGCTTTACTTGCTTATAGGTGGCCACCCTCTTGGTGTATCCTCACATGGCCTCTTCTTTGTGCACACACATCTCTGACGTCCCTCTCTCTTCTTAATAGGACACCAGTCATATCAGATTAGAGTCCTACCCTTGCGATATCATTTAACCTTAGTTATCTTCTTAAAGGCCCTATTTCCAAATAGAGTCACATTCAGAATAGGGTTTCAATACAGTACAAGTTGAGCATCCTAAATCTATAAACTCAAGATGTGAAAATCTGAAAATACTGGAGCGTTTTGGATTTCAGATTATTTGGATTTGGGATGCTTAGCCTATATATATTCTGCAAATATTTAAAATCTTAAAAAATTGAAAATCCAAAATACTTCTGGTTCCAAGCATTCCAGATAAGGAATATTTGACCTAGTATCTAGATTTGGGGGCAAACACAATTATTTCTGCCCCTCATTAGATGGCTGAAATTAAGGATTTTATGTGCTTTGTAACCAATTCCACAGAAACCAGCAGAGAATGGAAAATTTGTGGAAAGTGGAAAAACCTAGTAAACCATAAGGCAGAATCTAATGTTCAAGCTTTCTTGAAGGCTTTTTTTTTT